CATACGATGTACAAAGCTTCAACCAAGAGACCCACTGCAGTGGCAGAGGCCAACAGGTGCTTAAGTCACCCCAGAATCCAGTTTTTCCTTCTCCCGGGGGAAAAACTAATCGCTGGACTATGGCTGGGGAGAAGATGGGCTGCAGGGAGGAGGGGAGCAGAGCACAGAGGAAACCAGAACTGCACACGCCCAAGAGTTTTTCCTTGTCTCCTTTATTTGCGCCAAAAGCATTCCGAGTTTGGATTTCACTATTAGTTCACAGATAGTTTTAAAAGCAAATGCTTTTGAGAAGCAGCCAATGCTTCTGTCCCCTAAGACTTACTCCAAATCGTCCTGCTAGCCAGACAACAGCAGATGCTCCTGGATGCTTTGAAGATCAAACAGCAAATGGAGACTAGGCAAGGACAAACTCCCTCCCCAGACAATGAGTTTTTCCTCTCCAGCCACGTCACAAGTGTTTTGCCCAGTCACGCAACTACTCTCTTTACTGCAAGCAGTTCCATCCATCTTCACTTCCAAAAATCATCAGGGATTTTCTTCCTAACCTGCAACTTCCTGCAAAAGGGAAATGACAGGACTCTTGGCTTCGAGATCTGCTAGACGCCATAGCCTGGAAGCTCACCCGTCACACGTCTATAGCACAATTCAGCCCCAGAAGTGCACCCATGGGCTACAGCTGTGCCACCCTCTGAACCTGAGCAGCACCCCTGGGTTTTGCCCCAGCCGTGACACCAGAAGCAGATGCCCTGGGTCCAGCAGCCAGCCCCACAGATGCGCATACTGGGAAGAACTGCTTTTTCAAAGCCAGGTCACTTCAGCAGTCCCAGATCACATAAACCCCCCGACTTGCAGCTCCCGTGGCACCCGGAGTCGACCGGCCCGTGAGCCCACCGGCGTCAGCCCTGGCTGCACGTGCTGTTTGTCCAGCAGGCCCCTGGGAACTCGGCAGGCAGCAATCAAAGAACAGGTCAGCGCAGCGCAGCAAACCAGGCTCCCATCTGGCAGGCAGGAAGCGCATTTCGGAGTCTCAGCGTTCAGCTTGAAAGTTCCCGGGTCCTGCTTTTCAGCAAGGCATTCACCACAAAAGCTGTGGTTCCTCTTGTGAGAAGTGACACGCCTTACGGGGTCGTGGTGAAAAAATCCTCCAGAATATTTTTATGAACTCCTGACACGTTGTCATTAACAAATACAAAACAATTCCAAGAAGGCAGTCTTAGCTTTGTACTTTAGATAACAGGAAGCATATCATGACTAAGAGGGCAGAAATACGCTGAAGCAGCTGCCCTCCGCATGCTGCCTCCCCGAACAAGGCAGGATTGTGCAGAGAAACAGGATAAGCAAATCTGTTATCTCCACCCAGATGCATCACCAACATCAACCCCGCTGTTTCCTAACTTAGTGGTTTTTTTGGTTATGCTTTAAAAATAGTTTAAAGAAAAACTCATACCACATGATGTAATTCATTTGAGCTTCAGCTAAAGTACTTTTGGTGGCAGAAGTGATCCTGGCTATATTTGGAACACTGATACAACACGTAGCTTTCTTCAGTGGTACAATTATTTAATTTCTTAGTGCCCAGACATTCACTTCAGTTTGACATTTTAAAGCAATTTACTTCAAAAGCTAAGGAAAAAATAACTATAGTTAAAGAAACTCTGAAAGCACAGGCTGTGCTTTTACCCACATGGCTAGGTTTTGTCAACGCAGATGGTTTTCTTCTTCAGGGAAGAAGAAAAGCCTCTAGAGCCACACGTGCGTGCAAGGCTATCCAAGTTAGAATTTTATTGGAAACATTGAAAAGCTCTAGTAACAAGATCACCTCATAGTACAAATATAGATTTAAATGCATAAACTAAACCAGTTAAAAATCTATTCATGATTACTGTACATTAGTGGAATATTACTCTTGGCTACCCACTTCGTGAATGAAACAGAACGAAAGCTGAGTTAGGAGAAACAGCTCTAGAAACAAAAGACAATCTGCCCAGGACAAGATTAGAAAGAGGCTCTTTCTAACACAGGCATCCTCTAAGATGACAAAACCAAACGGAAGGCTCTGAAGCTTTGAGCAGTTCCATTTTCCCATGTCTGTTTATGCTTTCAGTCACATGGTCACAGCATATAATCGAGTCCAGTTAACAGAATCCTATACGTTCTGCTTGTCCCTGAATTCCAAGGAGGCACTGACAGAGTAACTGGGACTTTCACAGGCTAGAAAGAGCAAAGATCACCTTCCAGGTCGCAAAGCTCAGCAGGATAACTTGATAAATGGACAAGCATTTGCTTAGAACTAAACCCAGCTGGAAGTAACTTCACTCAGCGTCCGTTGACTTATAATGATCATCATCCACAGTGGAGTAGATGTGTCCCTCGCTGCTAAGGAATTCAACAGCTTGCCTTTGAAGGGAAAAAAAAAAAGCAATTGCTAACTAGTTCATATCAACACCTTTCTCTCGGGGATTTCCCATTTACAGACCCCATCCCTACTGCTCCCTTCTGGCATCTGCCACGGGAAGCTCTCGCTGTCTCCATCCTGTGAGCAGTTTAAGTGCTGCTCCACCAGCCAGCAGGGACAGAAAGTTTCTCCAAAGCTATGGCAATATGCTCCCCCAGCAGCTCTTAGACTCTGCCTGCCACAGAGGGGAAGGCCACTGCTTTTACCTGGGAAGTACCGAGAGCAGTACCTACCACTCTGCTTCAAAGGGGACAGAGCACAGAAAGATAATGGATGTTAATTACTGTCTTTAGGCTTCACTGTTTTTCTAAGTCTCAGGGAGGAGAAGTTGTAAGAGACAGCAAAGGAAAAGAGAACAGAAACAGTCTATTCCAAAGTTTTGATCCGTGTGCAGAGAGCAAGGCAGTCCTTGAACAGGAGAAAATAGCGCTGAGGCACTGCAGTACTCCCAAGTGCCTATTACTTTGCTACTGAACTGTTAAACGGCTCGTTCTGAAAATAGGGAGTGAAGCATTTTATCACCCTTTCAACTGACAATGGCTCATTCCAAGCCGTTGAAACTTCAACACTCCGGCTCACTACTGCATCCTACTGGGAACATCTGAAATTACTAGTGCTGTTGAACAAGTAAGGATCTGGGCTTGCCCACTAGTTTCCTCTCTGCCTCCTTTTATCAGACTCCAGGAAGGACCACCTGGATTTCCAGAACATCCTTCATTTCTACACACTTACTTGATTGTTGACATGCTCATATTGTGGAGCTCACGCTTCAACTCTTGAAGACTCATACCTTCTGGGACAGGACAGCTTTTAATCAAGTTCAGCACCTGCAAAAGCAAGAACCACCATTTGCACACAGCTAGGCTTCTCTATCATCGACGGACAGCAAGGTCGAGGAAGAGCTATCCGCCTTCCAAGAGTAACTGAGCTTTCATTTCTTTGTCCTACATCACGCCGCAGCAGCCTCCGCTGCGACTGCTGTGTTCCTGGCGAAGCTGCTTGCACCTACCTGACTCTGATGCGCAGTGAGTCCATTCACTGGTAGGCTGCCACCTCCTCCATAGCCCCCCATGTCACCCATCCCAGCAGAGGAAAACGACTGAGGCACTCTTGACGCTGACTGAAATTACAAGAATAAAATTGCTGTGGTCACACAGGCTGCCGCAAGCCCGCAGCATTAAAGACTCCATGTTATTTCAGAGAGACAGCAATTAAAAATAGATTCCCAAAAGAAACTGCTGGAAATGGACTGCAACACAATCTCTCTCCAAGGAAGCCAGGACTCCTGTTACACCTTCGCTGTAGCCCTCCAACAGCTTCAAGCTTTCCAGCCCCACAACTGGTAACACAATTTCCTCAACGGACCAAGGGGTCCCCCTCTTTGGGAGATAACCAGTAACCCAGTAAGGGCCAGGATGGAATCAGGATCTTCAATTATGTACGTACCATAAGATTTTTTCTGAGGATCATATGCGCATTGACAATCTCTAGTATGTGTGTGGTGAACTCATTCATATTTTCCAGAGGCATGATCTTAAATGCCACCAAGCTTTTCTTATTCTTTCAGAGAAAAAAAAAAAAAAAAGGCAAAGAAAAAAAATTAACATCATGGCAACGGGAACATGCTTAACAGCCAATCCAACCATTCCCTCCAGGAACAGGGAGAGTGGCGGGTAGGGAGCTTGTCTGCACATAACTAGTCCAAAATTTCCTGACTTACATTTTCATACGTGATTTTGCAAGACAATGCAGACAGGGTAACTTCTCTTTTAAACTGGCTGGTAATTAATTTCACTTTGCTTTAAGGCATGCACCATTATTTGAATATTTATTCGTATATTTAGTTATAAAATTTAGTTACGAAGCAACCACATCACATAATATGCTACAAGAAGTGTCCCCATTAACCAGAAACCTGGTCTAAGCTCTACAGTACAAACACCCAAGAACCTGGTCCAGTACTCTGTTCTGCTGAAAACAACGCACTGATGAAGAATGGCATTTTAAATGGGTACTCTGTCCTTCGCATTTAGGAACAATTAAAGTGTTATTAAATACAGCCCCGGCCAAAACATTGAAGGATTGGATGAGCAAAGACCGCTATTAAGTGGATATTCTAAAGGGAGCCCACTAACACTGCCAGATCGCCAATCCGGCACGCCACTGCTCCAGCCTCGCGACTTGAGGAGTCGGACATGGGTAACATCTTACCTGGAAAGAACGAAGATGACCAGCTACTTTTACGTAAGTTCCTGGAGGTACCACAACGTTCTCGCCACCTGCCTCCTAACAGAGAGGAAAAGGAGAAAGGAAGGTTTTGCTGATTCACGTTTCCATTTCTCCATTATCACAATAAATGTCTTAGGAAAGGAGGCTTATCTCAAACAAACACGAACAGCATGCCTTCCTACGTCCAGTAAGAGCAGTTGGGTAAACATAACCATAAATGAAAAATAGAGAAAAAAATATTTGCTCGTTTGAACACACTGTACACTGGTCAAAGCCAGTTGTCTGCTCTGCTGTCTCTGTCCACTTCTGAGAGGTTTTCACCAAGCAACAAAGAGGAAAGAACTCTCAAATAGTAAAAAAGCAGGGGTTCAACTGTGTAACTTGGCTAGGAGAACGGAAGCAGTCCAGAACTTTTTCTGAAGTTATGATAAACTTGCAGTTAAGCCAATGTCTGAATGTCTGCCTAATTACTCTCCCAAAGTTGTTCAACTGAACTCAGCTGTTTGCCTTCAAACGTATGTTACAATAACATGGGCTAGCTTTAAAGGCCTGCTGTACCAGCAGTGAAAATTATCAGCACTTCAGGAGGCATGCATCAGAAAACAAGACAATATTCATCTGTACAGGTCTCTGCCTCAAGCCACATAGAAAAATCTCTGCTCACTCCCTCTCCTTGTGTTTCTACACAAAGCTACTGAGCATGCACCCCTCAGTTCAGCTATGAAGTAACGGTTGAGCTTTAGCAGCTAAGCTCTAAAAAACTATTCAGAGTGGTTCAGTGTAGAGCCACATATGAATTACAAAACAGGAGAAGATTCACGTCCAGCACCAGCGATCTCTGCTACAGCAGCATCTCCCTTGGCTTTCAGAGGCATATTATTCCTAAAACACTTTTCAGAACAGCCACATCTTTTTCATAGGTTTTCTCTCTTCACCGCCCCCAAAGGTTTTAAAGAAGTGCATTCGTAAGGAATATGGTGCTTACGTCAGTATCAACCCACTGCCTGACATCCATCGGGGCTGCCGTCATGTCATCCACTTTGTAGAGAATGTTTGTCGGTGCTTTCTCAGCGTGCCGAATTATCCCCATAATGGTAACCTGCGTTGGAAGAGGGAAGAGTTTACCCGGGAAGGCCCCGGGAAGCGAGTCTGTTTTACCCGCAGCCCTCCCGCTCGCCGCCTTCCCCGCGGCGCCCACCTGGGAGATCTCCACGTCGCGGATCCGGAAGGTCTCGTCGACCTGC